CCTTGTCTGTTCTTAGTCTGGAAACTCCACTGAAGCCTGTTCACTTTGGATGACCCCACTAGCAACGGAAACGCCATGACATAGCTTCTAGCAACACACAAGCCACCACAGTATGTCAAACTGACAGATAAGTGGTACAGACATAAATTATTACGATGCAGACATTAATTATTCCCAAGTGCTCAGACAAAAGAAATAGCAGGCTGGGAGTAGACATTCAGAAAATGCCCTCATGGAAGCTTTAGACGTTAAAGTGGGCCATCACTGGTGTCAGTGATTTACTTAGTCACAAAGGCACCCTCAGGCTTCAAAATACTTGTTCAGTCACTTTCTGTTTTTAGATGAAGATTCTCTATTTACTTTCAAATTTCACCTTTAGGTATGAATTTCTCTGTAATATTTCTGTTATGAAAACATGGAATCATATGCTAAGATGGATACATGTTCAAGGATATCACTTAACTGTGCTATTGATAGGAGCACTTAAAAAAATAGAACCAACCTAAATAGCCATCTTTGGAATAATGGATAGTATCTCCATATTAAAATTAGTTATAAATATTGTTGTTAGTTGGACGCACAGTGACCCAATGTAGAACGCAGGATACACTGCTCCATCCTGCATCATCCTGATCATTGTTACCGTGCAGCCCCTGTGTCAACAAGACACCCGAACCTGTATTTTGAGCGCCGTCCTAGCGGAGCAGCTCGTCTTCCAGCACTCTATGGAACGATGCTCTGCTGCCACTCAGCAGGCTTTCATTGGCTAGCCCGCAAACGTAGACAGCCTACTCCTTCTTCTTAGTCTGTTTTCAGTCTAGATGTTCCGCTGAAATCTGTTCACCAGGGATGGCCCTGCTGGTATTGGAAATACCAGTGGCATTGCTTCCAGCATCACAGCAATTTTGAAGCAGCACAGTAGAACAAAATGACATACGAGTAGTGGGTTATAAACATAGATCTGTATTTTTTAACAGACATCTCTAATGTATTGCAGAGTACAAATACGTGTGTGTTTATGTGCATATAGTATATATATACATGTACGCATATATGAAAATATAAATTCAAATAATGCAAAATAGTGTAATGGACTTTTTTTCCCTCTAGTTCTTTTTTTTATAAATTTATTGGGGCTCATACAATTCATCACAATACATAGATCAATTGTGTAAAGCACATCTATACATTTGTTGCCCTCATTATTCCC